GGCACCATTCTTGGTACCTCCAGGTCTTTTTATGAACGGTCTACAGGCAAAGCTTTGCTCCCGGAAACGAGATCAATAACACTTTGGCCATGAGCATGCAACTAAAAGAATGAAGTGCGTAAAGGTAAGCTGAAACAGAGATATTGTATAGCTTTTGTGAGATCTGTATTACAGGTTACTGTAAATAATTTTAACTAATATTCTACTGATAGGTATTTCCGATTCGCTCTTAGTTCGAACAAATGCCGATAATATAGCTTGATAATGTTGGTTGGGGGGGGCAAATGCCGTTTTATGTTGTTTTTTTCTTTGTCATCTTATCAATTGGCCTTCTGGGTTGAATGAGGCACTGACCTCCGGAAACATTGAAGTTTATACTCGACTGAAGATATTTTCACTCTCCTTTTCATTGAGTAGATGTTTTTCAGCACTGTGGACACAAATTTGGTCAGGCTATTCCAGTCTGTGAGTCTGAGATTTCGAACAGTAAAATCATGTTGCATGCAGCATTTCAACCGAAAATCTAAACGATAGTTGCCACCAAAATTGGTAGTGTGTGGCCTGCAGCGATTTGACAGCTCTCGGTGGAAAAAGTACATTGATTCTTTTTTATTCTAAAGTTCCTAAGCTGGACACTTTGATGATACATTTCACGAGATACTGAGGGGTCACTGCTGGTGACTACGTGAAAATTACATGCTTATTGGATCTTTGAAGCAAAGCATGGCGAATTCAGACCAGTGGGAAAGATACTGAAAAGCTTGGCTTCTAATTAAATGTGTCGGATCAAGAGCAGAAAGAGGAAGCTTATCTTTGGAGACGAGTAAGTTCTGATGGTGTCATCGTTTGAGCGTTTTTGTTTTGTTTTTTTTGTTTTGTTTTGTTTTTTGTTTTATTTTTTGGTTTGTTTGTTTGTTTTTTTGTTTCGTTTAGTTTTAATAAGAACACTTGCAAAACAATCAGGTCATATACGTGCCGAAGATTAGAGGAGTTATTAGAGTGTGACATACATACAAGAAGGATGAGGAGAAATAAGGATGGCAGATGTTTGATAGAAAAGAAGGAGCAAACTACACCTGAGCATCCCCCCCCCCCAATTATTTAAATGCCACAGGCGACCAATGAAAACGTAGCATTCACACTAGCAATTATCATGATTCAAATGAAAGCTGTTTTCTTTTTAAATTGCAGGTTTGTCACTTATTTCAACTCTTAACCGTTGTAATAATATTTACATGATGCTTTCGAAAAAAGTATTTCATTATTTCACAAAATTTACTAATTAAATTAGCCCGTGGACGGACAAAAAAAGGAATTATTTCTGAGCCAGCGCACAGTTTTAGGGGCCATTTTCAAATTCGTGTACTGATATGGGGGATGGGGGCACTCGAGGTGGAAGGAGATTCTTTCGTTTGGAATCTTGTCGGAGACTCCAGAGCATTAATGTATAACTTGCAATGCCTCAGAAAAATACTGATACATTATGGAACCGCTCATGTTATCGCAGGGATACTATTTGAAGAAGTTTTGACAGGTTGAAAAAAATGATAATAACTAACTGCAGAATGGACAGCGCGATTCGTTGACTGGCATATTTCTTGAATGACTGAATTCCCACCATTGCTGATGACTGAAAATGTGCTACAAAATGTGAATGTGATTTTATTTTCTATAAACTATGCGCCTATTAGTATCATTTATTCAAAATAGATATAAGAAAATTAGAACATTTTGTCGCAAATCAAATATATTTGAGTGTTTAGATTATTGCGAATTTTTGTTTACCCAGTAACACATTTAGTGTCTTTTGACCAATGTTATCTTCATAATATAGATTTCTTGGTTTTAACGTGATGACTTTAAAAAAACCGTTAAGTTTGGTTGTTGTTGTTTTTTTAATAATAGATAAATGGCTTTAAATCGTTCCCCTACGAGGAATGTATTTTATTACAATTGCCTTTTTCTTTTGGGGATGTATTGCAAGCAACCAGGGTACGCCCTCTGAAGATACAACTGAAGCTACACCGCCTGCTGTTTGTTGTTTCCATATTGGCGTAAAAATCAGTAGGTTTTTCAAAGTTTTCTATATGTCAAGGACTATCACTAGGGCATTCCGAAGTATCCTGATTACTTACAAAATTAAAAGCTCAAGGTTTAATTTAACGCATTGTGAGGCAACGTCGTGAAATCAGGCGATCGCCAGAATAATGAAATTGAAGAAACCTACATTTTTCCACAGGTTTGGCAATTTGTATCAAATGTTTTTTTGTTTTTTTTGGTTGGCTTTTTTGTGTGTGGGGGGGGGGGGGGTTGTTTGCTCAACACCTTACAATATGTCCGTTTAAACTCACATCTCTGTGTGTATTTTACTTTTTAAAAACAACAACAGCACCAACAAAAAACTCATTGATTAAAAACACAAAAATGCAACTATTCAGTTTTCATGGACTCTCAAGCTTGGAAGTTACCAAACTTTGGCGGCCATTTTCTCTCTAATTATATTTTACCACTGAAACCCGGCGACCCCCACCTTCTTCAATCTCAAATACATCGACTTCTATTCAAGATAGATGCGTTTGTTTGGGTTTGTTTTTTTAATCAAATTGTAATGGTACATCCCCGAAGCTTGACAAGCGCCTGATCGCACCGCGTCGTTGACACAAATGCGTAAGATAACAGATTTAATTCACAGTGCAACAACATTAAGACTGTTGATTAGCGTACTAAACTAAGATCCACCTGGGTTCAAACAGAATCCTTTGCCTTCACCTTCAAGCCGGGCACACTGTCGCTTCTCTCCCAACACTCAACCACCGTGAATGAATCGTGCGTTCACTTAGTAAATGAAAACGTATTTAAAAGCTTTTGACGACTTTATATTTAAACAGGATTCACATTCCCTCGGCCTCTCGCTGCTCCACTGTTCTACAAAACAGCAGCACACTCTTCTTCTTCTTCTTCTTCTTCTTCTTCTTCTTCTTCTTCTTCTTCTTCTTCTCGGGTGACGAAAGATACCATTCAATGGCGTTGTTATTTGAAAATGTGACGGGAGAATTTTAAGGCGGAGGGAGATTATGGATTAATTTTGAAGTCGATTGAAAAATAAGCTGAAAAGTAAAGTAAGAAAGGATGGAAAAACATTCTTGTCTGAAATTATCTGAGCACACGTGGGAAATTAAATAAACATATAACGAGGTAGCTTCACTTATGTTGCTTGTCGCTGGAATTTGACATTGTCAAATAAAACATGGCCAACACTAAAAGAAGAAATGTATGTATGTATGTAGGTAGGTAGGTAGGTAGGTAGGTAGGTAGGTAGGTAGGTAGGTAGGTAGGAATGTGTGCGTGCGTGCGTGTGTGTGTGTGTGTGTGTATGTGTGTATGTATGTATGTATGTATGTATGTATGTATGTATGTATGTATGTATGTATGTATCGGTGGGCCGCATGGGGCAAAAGCTACCATTTTGGAACAATACGATTGACTTCAATTAAATTTGACTGTGACCTTCAAACTCAACGTGTTTTTTTTCTCTCAAGTTGTGAGTCAAATTGGAAGCATTGTCCCAAACGGTAGCTTTTGACACTACGTGAAGATTAATATTGGCTGGCCCAGACTGAATCAAATGAACCAATTTGGCAGTATGCACTGGATATCATTCACATGATCGAGTGCCTAGGAGTGTTGGTTTCAGAGTGGAGTATTGTAAAAATAATCGGTCGTCCGCCAATGTCTGGCAACGGTCAATGCTTTGCAGAAAAGAATATTTTTTACTAGATCTAAACAACACAGAAGAAATTTCAAGGATTATGATAACTTGTGTCTCCACCATGGCCAATTAGAACGGTTTTATTACATTCTGAGTTTCAAAAGCTTCATTTTAACTTGTGGATGTGTGCAGCTTGCGAGCTTCTCTTCCTTGGCTTCAGAAAACGAATAATGAGGGTCTGTGTGTGTGTGTGTGTGTGTGTGTGTGTGTGTGTGTGTGTGTGTGTGTGTGTGTGTGTGTGTGTGTGTGTGTACGTATGTGTGTATGTGTGTGTAAGAGTGAGTGCGTCTATGTAAGTATCTCCTCTCTCTCTCTCTCTCTCTCTCTCTCTCTCTCTCTCTCTCTCTCTCTCTCTCTCTCTCTCTCTCTCTCTCTCTCTCTCTCTCTCTCTCTCTCTCTCTCTCTCTCTCTCTCTCTCTCTCCTTCGCTCCCTCATTATATACAGTGGTGTCCAAAAGTAACTTGACAGTGTATTCATCCAACCACAGTGTTAAAACCTTGTACTACGCACTCTGGCAGCATATCAATTTAAAGTAATGAATTCGGTGTCATAAGACACAGTAATATTAAATATACAGAGAGAGAGAGAGAGAGAGAGAGAGAGAGAGAGAGAGAGAGAGAGAGAGAGAAAGAGAGAGAGGGGGGGAGAGGGGGGTAGAAATATAATATACAGCTAACAATATGTATGTATTTATATATACAGCTAACAATGTATATGTATGTATATCAGTTGTATCTTATATATTATATGTATATATGCCCTAGTGATAGTCCTTGACATTAAAAAAACCTTGAAAAACCTTCAGATTTTTACGCCAATATGGAAACAACAAACAGCAGGCGGTGTAGCTTCAGTTGTATCTTATATATTATATATATTATATACATGCATATAATGTATATATTATATAATATATATAGTGTGTGTATGTGAGTGTGTATGTGTGTGTATGCATATATGTGTGTGTCTGTGTGAGTATGTGAGTGTATGCATGTACGTATGTGCTTGTGTCTGTGTTCACGCTTCTCTGTAATTTGTGTGGGTTGTTTCGCTTTCTTGTTTGTTTGTTTGTTTTTTTAAAATTGTAAGTGCTTTACGGCACTCGCAACTGCATTGGGCCATTGACCGCGCGGGGCACATAAAACATTTTCAGCTGATAGGAAATTTTGAAATTTTCCCGAGTGTCTTCTTGCTTGACAGATTGCTGTGCTTTCGAAGCGGCTCTGGACGTGTGCTTTAGATCTACAGTTTCTGAAATACTAGGATACATGGAAGTAAAATTACTTGCATTTCTGAAATGTCCATCCCCGAAAAATACAAACAGCACGCCTGGATTGTGGTAATGGCTTTGTGTGAGAGTACACTTTAGATTTATTCTCTCCCTGTAGGGTTTGGGGTGACACACAGTGCCAATAACTTCTTCTTGGTTAGTCTTCTCTGAAGGACTTTTTGGATGCCACTGCAAGATAAACTAGATTATCCTTATCAGTGATCTTGCTTTCACTAACAAAAATGCACACCAGCTCTAAGGAATATATGTTTTTGATAATGCATTCAAAGCCTTAGAACACGACTTCTAGTTTACATGAAAATGTCTCTTCCACCTCATAATTGCCAATGGGACAGCATCAAGCCACCCTTCCTGCATTATAAATACATGTATATTATTATCCTGTATGTTTTTGTCAGGTCAGCTCCCTCTGTGACGTCACAACAATGGCTATCCCGAGAGAGAGAACGGCAGCTTATCGGAGCGGCACCTCACATGCACACATCTGGTCGTGTTCGCGGAAAAGCAGCTTTGGCGGTGAGCTTCTTTGTCTGGGACATCTTGGTCTAGGTAGCACGTAGAACATGATAGTTATGATAAAGTTAACTTCTATTCTTCTAGTACGTAGCGCATTCTATATACATGTATTTAACTGAGAAGTAAGCAATGGACGAGTGGCGTCGGTGGCACTATGGTTAGGCTACCGGATTGGTAATCGTGAGATCGTTAGTTCGGGGGTTCGAGCGTCAGCTCGGTCCGACTTTGTGTCATTGGGAAAGACACTTTACACGAATTTCTCATTTGGCTTGGTCCTTTCGTAGATGGACGTTACACTCGGAGGTCACGCCTCTTAAATAACTTAATGGTGTTGATAGGGGCGTTAAACCACTACCATTTCACCATTTCAGAAATGGATGTGGCAGGTTTTATTTTCTGTAAAGTTTATTAAAAGATTTCTCCCTCCTGCAATGTTTTAAGTAGACAGCATTTCTACGGTTGTTGTTTTTTTAAATTTGTAACGATTTGGACACACACAAAGTAAATCTATTATGAATTTTCTAAAATATTTTGTTAATATTTGTGTAAGTCCTAACCTCACGGGCTTTTGTTAGTCACGTAGGGGTTAGCCATTTGTCCTATCCCATAATAGAGATTTTGTAATTTTGTTGCTGGAAATTCTGGGGAAAAAAAACCCGGGTATATTCTCCAATATGGTGTCGTTTGTTAATATCAGCCTATACTACAGGGTCAGTTAGATCAACCAAACTCAAGATGGCTTCATATTTTCGTAATGGCAGTATTCTTATAACGTATAACTTCATATGTTTCCGAAGCGAGTAGGTGCTACTGAGTACCCCGAAATGATGTTTTGGAGTAAAGAAGCGATACTTGTCAACAAACGTAAACCTGTCCATTAGATTAAAGCCCGCAAAACTAGGTTAGGACGTTCTCAATCAAGTATTCTACCCCTTATGTCTCAGGCTATCGGGCCGTTCCTTTGTCCTTTATTGTTGTATCTGAAGTCATGACATTGTTTGAGTGACACTGGTAAGTGCATTATTGGCAGAGCTCTATATGTCCTGTTGGGGGTTGAGATGAGAAAGTAGAATAGCTTGGCTGATAAAGCATTCTTTACGAAGTCAAGCGAACCTCCAATTCATGTAAGAGGTTGTCACTGAAGGCTGCGTGCCAAGGTGGATAGTACAGTTGTTATACATATATGTTTTTTCTCAATTAGGAAATTCTGAATTTGATTGGTCATTGGAGAGAGAATAATACTTGTGCGATGCAATTTTGTCTTAGGTTCATTGGGGCAAATGAAAAAAATCAACCTGGATACTATTAAAATCTGTAGGAAATCCAGACAAGTGTATAAAACACGTTTTTGACTTGTTTTTCATTATGAAGATTGGCACGATGTTATCCGTCGTTTCATGCAACTTCATCGTGAGCGCCTCTAGCTCGATCAACTAACGGGGCAATTTGAAACGCGAGTTGTACGGCTCGTTTTTCGGGTGTTAAATGACATCTTGCATAATCTTGCATATTTGAAAGGGGTATTAAGTCTGGAAATAATATTGAAGAAATCAAAAGATATGTTGCTATAATGTGTTGTTTATACTAGAACGTGTTCTTTCTAAACAGATGAAAAACGCACTTCCAGTTGTTGCGCCCGTTCAACCTCAGGAACAAGGCAACAGGTGAGCGACTCAACTGTAATTCTATCCTCCACCCTACCATCCCCAAGACCCACGTCTAGCTCGACTGACAATACTACTCTTAGCTCTTCTTACAAAATGTCACCAAAGGCCAACCCACGTTCTGCACGTCTAGCCACACCCTCTACGACTCCTTCTTCGCCGCGACCGACAGGTTTGAAGAAAGAGAGTATCCAGAGATTGACGAATGGTGGGATCCCTCTCACAGCCAGGAGAAGACGTCTGTCTCTGGACGCTGCAGTCGCAGCTACCGAAGACACTAAGAGACATTTCGCTGAAAGCCAAGAGCCTCGATCTATTCTCAAGACAGGCACACGTCGAAGCAGTGTCACTTACATTGACAGTTCTTCTTTCTCTTCGACGTGTGATACACCTTCAACGTCAGGGTCGTTTACAACAGCATCCACCACGATCCCCATTCAAACGGATCTTTTATCCCTTTCTTCCTCACCGTCTTTATCTTCCTTGACGTTGTCGTCGTGTTCATCTCGGCAGCTCGCAGCCCCAACCACCACGACCACCGTGGTGAAGAAGGAAGGCATCGAGGTGGCGCCACTCTCGTGCTCTCCAACTAGTGAGAACAGTTCAGAGGACGGGCTGAGACGCTTTCGTTACAAGTTGCCCGTAGAGCCAATAACGTCATATGATGTAGGCCCAAAACGAGTGACGTTTGATGACGACGTTCTGGTCATACCAAAAAGCTGCCATCGAGAGAGGAGACTGTCATTGCCTTCTAAAAAGTGACTCGAAATCTAAAGTAAATAATATGTAGAGAAAAACAATAAAAACACAATATATTACCTTTGTCTCCACCATTTATTCAGTGTTAGTGTTTTGTACATATCTCGATCTTAGTCTTCAGGCTGTTAATCTGAAGGAGCTTTCTGACATTTTTCAATTTAATACATGTACACAAGGATGGGCCGATAAGCCAGTTTTTTTTTAATTCTTGCCATATATTTCGCACCAAATAAACATTAGTTTATAATTCTCCATTCAAGGAATGACTTTACAGAACAAAAAGGTAGAATAACTATCTGGCGTGCTTGAGGGTCCCGATTTGAGGTTTACGTTTTTGAAGAATCGAAAAACAGCCGGTAACACCAAACATCCAGGCTATAAAGGAAGAGGAAGGCCCCGCAAAGGTGGACTGAGGGAGTCAAGGAAACCCTGAGTAATTATGATATCCCATTTGAAAGAGCTGTGGAGCTGGCCTACCGTAGAAAACTGCATGTCCCTTCGACGCTTAACGGCAACAGAGAATGAAAAAAATATGAGTAAAAGTAAGAAAGTAAAACCTCCAAGCCTTTTGAAGCACACAACAAATCGTGGAATGTTCATCGTTATGATCTTGATGCTTAAGGTCAAGTCTAAAAATAGAAACTTCAAAACTTCCCCTGTATATCGAAAGTATAATTAACATGAAGGTACAGCATCGTTACAGATAACAGTAGAACAAGCGACAAAGACCCAACAGCAAAACGACGAAATACAAAAGTTTTTATTCATTGTTTCTCTGAGCACATCACTTTCAGTGAACTGGCTGGTGTAAGGTGGGGGTGGGAAGGAAGTTATCCTGATAGGAGGTGACGATGATGATGGTCAGAGATGGGTGGTGTGATAACAGTAAAGGGAGTTGACTGAAGTAGTGGGGATGGGGGTGAGCTTTGGTGATGATCGTAGGACAGAAGAATAACTCGTTTAAAGAAGTGCCGATTTGATGATATTATTGTAATATCTCTGTCTAAATCCATTATTTCTTCAGAAGATCTCTATAAAGGTTAAGAAGCTTGTTTGTTTTTTCTCTGAGATAATTTAACACAAAATGTAATGGCAAACTTTTGTTTCTTAAATCTTTCTGCGGTTTTCTAAAAGAGGCATATAATTTATCAGTTGCACTGGGGTTCTTTTTCTCTATTAACATAATATTTGTCTGTGGCTGGGGTGTGGGACTTATACCTAAAACCATCAACATTCTTTTGGGAGCTATAAATTGGGAGCTATAAATACAACGTCTAACTCCGACACTGAAAGCATTAACAAAAGGGAGGATGACTCAATTTTTCTTTAGGGAAGCTGGAAGACCACAAAATATAAACATAAATAATCGTAAACCGTGGTAACTATCAGCTACCTGAAAGCAATTTACTACAAGATATTAATGCATGGATCACCCCCCCCAAAAAAAAAGTAAAAAATCCTTTTCTTATCGAAACAAAATACACACCAAATGAAGTGGTCTTGCAAACCAGTAATTTAAGCGAATTAGGAAACAATAATTATTATGGGATACAAAATGTGTACGTCCTCTACTTTAGTACATGTTCTCTTCGCTTGGATCCTAGAAGAAATGAGCTCTGGAACACCCATTGTCTTTAAGGACCGCAAGCGTAATTTAAATACGTTTGTGACCCCCAAAAGTTGAAGGCGCTGAAGGTGTTCCAGAATTCATCACTAGTATTATAGGTATAACTTCAGCGAGTATTCCCTTTTCTGGAAAAATCATAATAGAATGAAATAAAGCAAATTATAATATACACACCTCATAGCAACAGGCATTCAACACGATACAGATCTTGTACTCTAATGTCTTTTTATTACGAGAACTCTTTCTTTGCCACGATCAAGTCTCGCATCTCATCTGAAAGGCAAAATATAACCAAAACCTCAGGTTATGCAAAATGGGTTAAGCCCCCCCCCCCTTTTTGGGGGGAAAGATATCACATAAGATCATTCAAGACACCTCCTCC